TTTCGCATGTTGACCTTTTTCAGTTGAAGGGTTTTGGTGTCTTTGATCAAATATTCGACTCGATCCAATCTTAACATATAGTGTAATGAAAGTTGTGTTGAACGCCCACTCTTCTAGATCTTTTCGCAGTCATGCAGTGCGCCCCAGGACTCATCTCTTTGAATCTACTGTCTCTTATTTTCATCAACGGCCTTTTTGATAACATTCGTCCCTAACTGAATATTTATGCTGCTAAGAGAGTTAGTTACTCATGTCTTAATAGTAAGTCCGATAGGTCTAAATAAGTAAAGCTGATAGCTGATATAAAGAAAAACTACTTCCAATCAGTTGTTAACTAGGGCAAGTATGAGCAAAGATACAGGTCTGAAGAAATGTTAGATGATCATATTGCTTAAAGTTTTCTCTCTTTATCTTGTCTTTTTAGTTTAAAATGTTTATGCGAATATAGAAACATGACTTAAATTCCTAAATTACCACAGCTAATATCCCTGGAAATACTTTGTCGAACAATTATAGCTTCTTAGTAAAAACAAGGAAAATTATTATTTATTTACCTAGATAGCTCATATCTTATACTCACCACTGAATCTGTCGAAATCTGTTTTACCGATGGAGTATTGGATTTAACATTATTTATTACTTCCTAACATCATTTGGTATATTCCAAAAAAGGTGTCTTTTACTTAATTTTGTCCCCGTATGCAGTCTTTTAAAATGGTCAAAAGGGATCGAGAATTAATTTAAGGTGTTTACTGTTTCTTTATTCATCGATCGGATGTTTTTCATTTCCACAAAGATTGAATCACGGGTTTAGAACGTTATATATATTTATTTGGTAAGCTTCCTCACAATACCTGCTGTTCCGAAGTACTCAGATATTTAATTAAGTGGCTATCGGAGGGTGGTCGGATCCCACTCATTTACCAAAATCTGACTAAATAACTAAGCGTTTTTGGAGGGCTCTTGCTCAGGTCGAGAAGTTTTCAGCACCCTTCCTGAACTAAGCTTTTCACTGCTGAGAATGTTGTATAAAATTGTTAGTTAATATCTATGCTTTTGCTTTCTTCGTGGGAAAAACATTTTTTCTTATATCTATTAAAAATGATATGTGATAAGTTGATCATCAGATAAAGAAAAAAAAAACGATGATTTATTGAATTCAAAGCAACATTTTATTAATTACTAGCAGTAGAGCCCGGCGTTGCGCGGGGATGTAACAGTAAGAGATAGATAAAGTATCGACCATCATAAAGACTGAAAAATAAAATTGACAAAGATTATTGTTTAATAATGTTTAACGCATGTCTTAATTAGTTTTTTTTGTTTTGTTTTGTTTTTTTTACGAATTGGTCAAACCCAAACTCAAACAAAAACATTGTTTTCAATCGTTATGAGTCTACCGATTGAATAGAATTTTATTATAAACAATTGTCTTGTAAATGGAATTTTTAAAGCATTCCGAATTTAAAAATAAAGAAAAAAGTGTGCAAGACAATAAGAAACACTACCTGCCAAAAAAAAGTGAAGTTTTGTTGAAATCGGTTGAAAAATGTAGGAAATCCGATCCCATATATAAACGAACACATACACATACACAAACAACCTGGGTTTTATAATAAGTATAACGCGATGTGAGTTGTCCCCCTTTCATTCTCGCGATGCCTCTTAATCGTGTTTTCAAATTGATTTCGTGCAAAAACAATTGTGTTTTTCCAATTTTTGACGCTGTCAAAACCACCGCAAGGTAATTTTACGTAGTCCTGTGAAGTTTTGTTGAAATCGGCTGAAAATTGTAGAAAATCCGATCCAATATATAAACGTACACACACACACACACACACACACACACACACAAAACCTGGGTTTTATAATAAGTATGATTACCAAGTGTACAGCGGGTTGATCTTTACAGAGTTGTAGGTCCTGTTTGGACTTATTATTGGTGGGAACAGCCTAAACAGAATAAAATATACAAATGACACACAGAAAGCAAACCGCAGTTACTTTTTTTTTTTTTTAAAAAAAAGCCTCCCTTTTTAAAATAAAATTTTTCTTCCGCTTAGTTGGAAGAAACAGACAAAGAATAAAAAAAGAGACATGTGGTAAATCAACCTGATTACCTCCCCTGTCTTATGATTTGCATAAATAAGTCATGCCGTCTTAGCCAAAAGGGCAAGATTTTTCATTTATGTTCAATAAAACATTAAACCGAACAAGACCCCGAGTTTCCATTATAATTTATTGAACGTAACTGAAGAGTCTTTCCCCCCTGCCAGCAAGTTATCAAACCAAAGGAGCAGTTCTCTCTGAAGCAATACCTCTCCCTTTTGATAGTAACGACGAAACAATGCCGCTGTATTCTCCCAAGGAAGAATGCCCCGATAATGACGATTCAGCGATTGACACAAGAACATCTCCCTCAAAACGAGAGCATACTACCGCAGACTCTGATAATCATTTTTTTTAGAATTACTAAGAAGGAGACAAAAACAATACGAAACGAAATACTTCTGGCCGACTGTTCCCGTAACACCTGAAATTCCAGATCAATTGCCACCGAGGCGACCCCAGAGAATTGTCAAGAGATCGAGTCACCTGGATGATTTTGTGTCGGACTAGGAGAAAACAAAGCCGGGAGAACGTGGTAAGACAACCCGATTATCTCCCTTGTCTTATGTTTTGTATAAATAAGTGACACTGCCTTAGCCAAAATGGCAAGACTCAGTTAAGTTCAATAAAGGCAGATTAAGCTGAACTAGACTCTGTGTTTTTATTACAAGACATAAATCTCTGTTCTATCTGGAAATTTCAGTGTGGAGGGAGTTCATGATAATTCCTGACAGAGTGGGCTAAGTTGCGCATGTTCTTATTATACTCCCTCTAAAAAGAAGAAATGAACGTGTTTGAACATTTTTTTTAAGCGTTTCACCCCATGCAAAGCGGGAAGCCACAAGGATGCAAGGGGTTACAGGAAATAGCAAGATCAGATAGGAGTGATAGAAGAAAGGATGAGGGTAGTGGATAGATCAAGGCAACTGGAGATGTCGATTGATATTACACTTGAATAGCTGGAGATTATAGCTCGCAGGGAAACAGGAGAAGGGAAGGGAGTTCCACAGGCGAGAGGTGCGAGACATGAAGCTATTAGAGTAGAAGAGACGGCTACATTTAGGAGTTTCCACAGTGAAGGGGTGAGAGCGGGATGCCAGCCTCGTAAGGCGTCTGGGAACCAGCGAATGCAGCTCCTCGGAGCAATTTCCATGAAAGTATTTGTAGAACAGACAGAGGGAGGCGACGGCGCGTCTGTGAGAAAGTGACTGTAGACGAGACGCCAGGGCAGGGCCAACCATATTATATATCCGCCTCTGGAGCCTATCAAGAACCCCGATGCAAACAGAAGGGGCGCCAGACCATATATGGCAACAATACTCATTGCAAGGGCGAATTGTGGATTTGTATACTTTGAAAATGTTTGAAGGAGTGGGAAAGTGTGGTATCTGGGGCATCCGTCGTGTTCTGGAACCGAGGAGACTCATGTCCATCCACGTTCAAGAAAAAGGATTGCATCACACATGAGATATAGAATTAGCGTATTTACTGCTGGCTCTGCTACATATCCATTTACTGTAGTCAAAATAACTTCAAAATTAGGTCTTCAAAGGTCGAAAATACGCGTGTATATACCAATCAAAAATGTATACATACTTCAGGAAAGGTAAAACTTAACTTTCGTGGTTTAACAAATTGAGATAACACAGTTTACTAGAGGATGTTGTGTATCGTAGAAAACCGACTACATTGTCAAGCCAGAATTGGCCAAGCAGTAGATAGCCGTACCAATAAATATCTGGAAGCTAAAAGTCACCATTTTAAGTATCTCTTGTGATTGTAGTGTCCAAAGGTAACTTGTATTAATCTCGTGATGTCTGAAAAACCTTAGTATTGCAATATCAAAAAGTTTTTCCTTTCCTGAAGTTTGTACTCATTTTTTGGTGGACTTATATACAAGCTCATAATGCTGAAGAAGTGAAGCTGCTACTAACAGAATTTTGAACGTATAAAGACCAGGTTAATTGGGTGTAGCGATTGCATCTGCGGTAAAGGAAATGAGAATTCGGTTGATGGATTCGTTTTTCTGCGACTTATCGACTTTTTTCAGGTTATTTAAAGCCAGGAAATATGCTCATATTGTAAAATTGTTTTTTTGAGATTATAATCGTTTAGTGATACAAGTTTTACTAATATACACATAGCCGCGACGAGAACAGGTGGATTCATGCTATTTTCAAGGGTATATTTGCGTAAGTAAATATAACGAATACAACTGGAATCGAAACCCGGCTCATCGATGAACAATTCCGAGCCATTAACCATTACAACACTCACACATCCAAGCTTACAGAACCCGATATTTCCAAGATGTCACCCATTTAGGTACTGACCAGGTACGATGTTGCTTAATTTAGGTAATCGTACAGGAACCGGTGTTGTAGCCGTAAACCGGAAATCAAGAAGAAAGGTCTAACCAATAATTGTAAGAGAGAAAGTGTGGTTATTAACAAAAGAGGCATCTTTGTTTTCAGCGAAGTTTTCCTATTTCTTAATATTTTGTTTAGCCTTAAAAGGCATCTTTTGCTATTCTAATGCTTCTTCGGATCTCTGTGTCACATTTAATATCATTTGTTATAACATTTCTCTCTTTGCTTAATTTTGATGTCTCTAGTGCGTAGCCCGGATCTTAGGATGCTCTTTTGTTATGCAAAAAACTCTTCCTCTAGAGTCGTACGTGGTGGACAAGTTCATCGCAGATAATAAAAGGAGATTTGAGGGCACAGAAATGTATTTCTAAATAAGAATGCGGTGATTAACATGGAGGGAACATGTAAGCAACGAGGAAACATTAATAAAAATGGAAACTAAAACGTGACTTTAGAATCAAAAAGAAATTGTTGAAATTTCTGGTACACATGCTGAAGAATAAAAGCTTGGAGAATTTAACACTAACAGGACAGACTGACACGAAGAGGGTAAGAAAAAGTAACAAGTAACAGATTGACACGAAGAGGGTAAGAAAAAGTAGCAAGTAACAGATTGACACGAAGAGAGTAAGAAAAAGTAGCAAGTAACAGATTGACACGAAGAGAGTAAGAAAAAGTAGCAAGTAACAGACTGACACGAAGAGGGTAAGAAAAAGTAGAAAGTAACAGATTGACACGAAGAGAGTAAGAAAAAATAGCAAGTAACAGACTGACACGAAGAGGGTAAGAAAAAGTAACAAGTAACAGACTGACACGAAGAGAGTAAGAAAAAATAGCAAGTAACAGATTGACACGAAGAGAGTAAGAAAAAGTAGCAAGTAACAGATTGACACGAAGAGAGTAAGAAAAAGTAGCAAGTAACAAACTGACACGAAGAGGGTAAGAAAAGTAACAAGTAACAGACTGACACGAAGAGAGTAAGAAAAAATAGCAAGTAACAGACTGACACGAAGAGAGTAAGAAAAAATAGCAAGTAACAGACTGACACGAAGAGGGTAAGAAAAAGTAACAAGTAACAGACTGACACGAAGAGAGTAAGAAAAAGTAACAAGTAACAAACTGACACGAAGAGGGTAAGAAAAGTAACAAGTAACAGACTGACACGAAGAGAGTAAGAAAAAGTAGCAACAGACTGACACGAAGAGGGTAAGAAAAAGTAGCAAGTAACAGACTGACACGAAGAGGTTAAGAAAAAGTAACAAGTAACAGACTGACACGAAGAGGGTAAGAAAAAGTAACAGGTAACAGACTGACACGAAGAGTGTAAGAAAAAAATAGCAAAGTAACAGACTGACACGAAGAGGGTAAGAAAAAGTAACAAGTAACAGACTGACACGAAGAGGGTAAGAAAAAGTAACAAGTAACAGACTGACACGAAGAGAGTAAAAAAATTGAAGTAACAGAATGACACGAAGAGGGTAAGAAAAAGTAGCAAGTAGCAGACTGACACGAAGAGTGTAAGAAAAAATAGCAAGTAATAGATTGACATGAAGTGGGTAAGAAAAAGTAGCAAGTAAGAGATTGACACGAAGAGGTTAAGAAAAAGTAACAAGTAACAGATTGACACAAAGAGAGTAGGAAAAAGTAGCATGTAACAGACTGACACGAAGAGGGTAAGAAAAAGTAACAAGTAACAGACTGACACGAAGAGAGTAAGAAAAAGTAGCAAGTAACAGACTGACACGAAGAGAGTAAGAAAAAGTAGCAAGTAACAGATTGACACGAAGAGGGTAAGAAAAAGTAGCAAGTAACAGACTGACACGAAGAGGGTAAGAAAAAGTAGCAAGTAACAGACTGACACGAAGAGAATAAGAAAAAGTAGGAAGTAATAGAGTGACACGAAGAGAGTAAGAAAAAGTAGCAAGTAACAGACTGACACGAAGAGGGTAAGAAAAAGTAACAAGTAACAAACTGACACGAAGAGAGTAAGAAAAAATAGCAAGTAACAGATTGACACGAAGAGAGTAAGAAAAAGTAGAAAGTAACAGATTGACACGTAGAGGGTAACAAAAAAGTAGCAAGTAACAGACTGACACGAAGAGAATAAGAAAAAGTAGCAAGTAACAGATTGACACGAAGAGGGTAAGAAAAAGTAGCAAGTAACAGACTGACACGAAGAGAGTAAGAAAAAGTAGCAACAGACTGACACGAAGAGGGTAAGAAAAAGTAGCAAGTAACAGACTGACACGAAGAGGTTAAGAAAAAGTAGCAAGTAACAGACTGACACGAAGAGGGTAAGAAAAAGTAACAGGTAACAGACTGACACGAAGAGTGTAAGAAAAAATAGCAAGTAACAGACTGACACGAAGAGGGTAAGAAAAAGTAGCAAGTAACAGACTGACACGAAGAGGGTAAGAAAAGTAACAAGTAACAGACTGACACGAAGAGAGTAAGAAAAAATTGGAAGTAACAGAATGACACGAAGAAGGTAAGAAAAAGTAGCAAGTAACAGACTGACACGAAGAGTGTAAGAAAAAATAGCAAGTAATAGATTGACATGAAGTGGGGAAGAAAAAGTAACAAGTAACAGATTGACACAAAGAGAGTAGAAAAAAGTAGCAAGTAACAGACTGACACGAAGAGGGTAAGAAAAAGTAGCAAGTAACAGATTGACACAAAAGGGTAACAAAAAAGTAGCAAGTAACAGACTGACACGAAGAGTGTAAGAAAAAGTAGCAAGTAACAGACTGACACGAAGAGGGTAAGAAAAAGTAGCAAGTAACAGACTGACACGAAGAGGGTAAGAAAAAGTAGCAAGTAACAGACTGACACGAAGAGAGTAAGAAAAAGTAGCAAGTAACAGACTGACACGAAGAGGGTAAGAAAAAGTAGCAAGTAACAGACTGACACGAAGAGAATAAGAAAAAGTAGCAAGTAACAGACTGACACGAAGAGAATAAGAAAAAGTAGCAAGTAATAGAGTGACACGAAGAGATTAAGAAAAAGTAGCAAGTAACAGACTGACACGAAGAGAGTAAGAAAAAGTAGCAACAGACTGACACGAAGAGGGTAAGAAAAAGTAGCAAGTAACAGACTGACACGAAGAGGTTAAGAAAAAGTAACAAGTAACAGACTGACACGAAGAGGGTAAGAAAAAGTAACAGGTAACAGACTGACACGAAGAGTGTAAGAAAAAATAGCAAGTAACAGACTGACACGAAGAGGGTAAGAAAAAGTAACAAGTAACAGACTGACACGAAGAGGGTAAGAAAAGTAACAAGTAACAGACTGACACGAAGAGAGTAAGAAAAAATTGGAAGTAACAGAATGACACGAAGAGGGTAAGAAAAAGTAGCAAGTAACAGACTGACACGAAGAGTGTAAGAAAAAATAGCAAGTAATAGATTGACATGAAGTGGGTAAGAAAAAGTAGCAAGTAAGAGATTGACACGAAGAGGTTAAGAAAAAGTAACAAGTAACAGATTGACACAAAGAGAGTAGAAAAAAGTAGCAAGTAACAGACTGAACGAAGAGGGTAAGAAAAAGTAACAAGTAACAGACTGACACGAAGAGAGTAAGAAAAAATAGCAAGTAACAGACTGACACGAAGAGAGTAAGAAAAAGTAGCAAGTAACAGATTGACACGAAGAGATTAAGAAAAAGTAGCAAGTAACAGATTGACACGAAGAGGGTAAGAAAAAGTAACAAGTAAGAGACTGACACGAAGAGGGTAAGAAAAAGTAACAAGTAAGAGACTGACACGAAGAGGGTAAGAAAAAGTAGCAAGTAACAGACTGACACGAAGAGGTTAAGAAAAAGTAACAAGTAACAGATTGACACAAAGTGGGTAGGAAAAAGTATTAAGTAACAGACTGACACGAAGAGAGTAAGAAAAAGTAGCATGTAACAGATTGACACGAAGAAAAAAAAGTAACAAGTAACAGACTGACACGAAGAGTAAAAAATAGCAAGTAAGAAAAAGAGGGTAAGAAAAGTAATGAAGTAACAGACTGAAACGAAGAGAGTAAGAAAAAGTAGCAAATAATAGATTGAAACGAAGAGGGTAAGAAAAAGTAGAAAGTAACAGAATGACACGAAGAGGGTAACAAAAAAGTAGCAAGTAACAGACTGACATGAAGAGAATAAGAAAAAGTAGCAAGTAATAGAGTGACACGAAGAGAGTAAGAGAAAGTAGCAAGTAGCAGACTGACACGAAGAGGTTAAGAAAAAGTAACAAGTAACAGATTGACACAAAGAGGGTAAGAAAAAGTAGCAAGTAACAGATTGACACGAAGAGGGTAAGAAAAAGTAACAAGTAACAGACCGACACGAAGAGAGTAAGAAAAAGTAACAAGTAACAGACTGACACGAAGAGTGTAAGAAAAGTAACAAGTAACAGGCTGACACGAAGAGAGTAAGAAAAAGTAGGAAGTAACAGACTGACACGAAGAGGATATGAAAAAGTAGCAAGTAACAGACTGACACGAAGAGAGTAACAAAAAATAGCAAGTAATAGATTGACACGAAGAGGGTAAGAAAAAGTAACAAGTAACAGATTGACACAAAGAGATTAGGAAAAAGTAGCAAGTAACAGACTGACACGAAGAGGGTAAGAAAAAGTAACAAGTAACAGACAGACACGAAGAGAGTAAGAAAAGGTAGCAAGTAACAGACTGACACGAAGAGAGTAAGAAAAAGTAGAAAGTAACAGATTGACACGAGGAGAGTAAGAAAAAGTAGCAAGTAACCGACTGACACGAAGTGGGTAAGAAAAAGTAAGAAGTAACAGACTGACACGAAGAGAGTAAGAAAAAGTAGCAAGTAACAGACTGACACGAAGAGGGTAAGAAAAAGTAGCAAGTAACAGGCTGACACGAAGAGGGTAAGAAAAAGTAGCAAGTAACAAGAGGTGACACGAAGAGTAACAGAATAAAAAGTAGCAAGTAACAGACTCACACGAAGAGGGTAAGAAAAAAGTAGCAAGTAACAGACTGACACGAAGAAGGTAAGAAAAAGTAAAAACACGAAGAGGGTAAGAAAAAGTAGCAAGTAACAGACTGACACGAAGAGGGTAAGAAAAAGTAGCAAAACAGACTGACAAGTAACAACAGACTGACACGAAGAGGGTAAAAAAAAAGTAACAGAGTAACAGACACGAAGACACGAAGTAGGGTAACAGACTGACACGAAAGGGTAAGAAAAAGTAACAGACTGACACAAAAAAAAGAACAGATTGACACAAAAGGGTAAAAAAAAGTAACAAGTAACAAAAAAGAGGGTAAGCAAAAGTAACAGACTGACACGAAGAGGGTAAGAAAAAGTAGTAACAGGCTGACACGAAGAGGGTAACAGACTGACACGAAGAGGGTAAGAAAAAGTAGCAAGTAACAGACTGACACGAAGAGTGTAAGAAAAAGTAGCAAGTAACAGACTGACACGAAGAGGGTAAGAAAAAGTAGCAAGTAACAGACTGACACGAAGAGGGTAAGAAAAAGTAGCAAGTAACAGATTGACACAAAAGGGTAACAAAAAAGTAGCAAGTAACAGACTGACACGAAGAGTGTAAGAAAAAGTAGCAAGTAACAGACTGACACGAAAAGAGGGACTGACACGAAGAAAAAAAAGTAGCAAGTAACAGGCTGAACGAAGAGGGTAAGAAAAAGTAAGAAAAGGAACACAGACTGACACAAAGGGTAACAAAAAGTAGCAAGTAGACAAGAGTAACAGAAAAAGTGACACGAAGAGACTAAGAAAAAGTAAAGTAGCAAGTAACAGACTGACACGAAGAGGGTAAGAAAAGTAGACTGAAGAAACAGGCTGACACGAAGAAGGGTAAGAAAAAAGTAGCAAGATAACAGATTGACACAAAAGGGTAACAAAAAAAAAAGCAAGTAACAGACTGACACGAAGAGGGTAAGAAAAAGTAGCAAGTAACAGACTGACACGAAGAGGGTAAGAAAAAAAAGCAGCAAGTAACAGACTGACACGAAGGGGAAGAAAAAAAAGTAGCAAGTAACAGACTGACACGAAAAGGGTAACACGAAAAAGAAAAAGTAGCAAGTAACAGATTGACACAAAAGGGTAACAAAAACAAAAAGTAAGCAAAGAGTAACAGAACAGACTGACACGACAAGAAAAGTGTAAGAAAAAGTAGCAAGTAACAGACTGACACGAAGAGGGTAAGAAAAGTAGCAAGAAAAATTGACACAAAAACAAAAAAGTAGCAAGTAACAGACTGACACGAAGAGTGTAAGAAAAGTAGTAACAACTAACAAGACTGAAGAAAAGTAGCAAGTAACAGAAGAAGGGTAAGAAAAGTAGCAAGTAACAGATTGACACAAAGGGTAACAAAATTGACACAAAAAGGGTAACAAAAAAGTAGCAAGTAACAGACTGACACGAAGAGTGTAAGAAAAAGTAGCAAGTAACAGACTGACACGAAGAGAGTAATAAAAAGTAGCAAGTAACAGAATGCCACGAAGAGAGTAAGAAAAAGTAACAAGTAACAGATTGACACAAAGAGGTTAAGAAAAAGTAACAAGTATCAGATTGAATGTAAACTGATCTCAGTTCAAGGGCTATGAGGGATGGTAATCTTTGAACTCCAAATGTAAAAAGTTGTGTAACGTCATACCTGACCATATTCTGGAGGGAGATGACACATGAAAGAAAATATAATCATTCAAATAATAATAGAGAAATCTAGTGTACAAGTTCGGTATTGTAGACCGACAAAGTGCTGAAGCCATTGTATTTTCTATTATTCGAACTGATTTGCACACACGTGTTTAATATTTTTTATACATTTAAGTTGATACGCCCTCATTCCTTGTTCGGGTAATGTCGAACCTGATTCTGTGAAGGCATGCGCTTTTCATCCCACACACATCACATCACATCTGGTGTCTGCGGCTGCGACCAAAAAACATAGGAGTGCTAAAAAAAATTAATCGCATTCACTGGAAGGTCATAAGTTCAGTGCGTGCGTCAAGGAAGAATAGTTCCGGGTTCCGGGATCTCGCGAAAATAAGCAAGGGTGTAAATGGGAATATTGGAAGCGCTTTCTTCTCAAAAGAAAGTTCGACTTTTCAAAGACAAATATGACGTTCGAAGAAGGCTGGGATGGCTGGGTACAACAACCTAAATGTATAATGAAGATGAGAAAATTCGTTCGTAAGAAAAAAAAAAAAACAAGTAAATAAACATCTCTGTTTTTCAAACAATAACTTTTATACTGTTCCTTTTCAATAATCTATACTCTGAAAGCTGAAATTTCTTGGATACATAATGAGGAAATGCGGCTTGGAAAACTTAACACTCACAGGGCATATCGAGAGTAAGAAATATATTGTAAGTTAGCCGGTCGCCTATCTGACGAGCTTGTATATATGAATAATCGATCGGTGAGGCGGGGGTTTTGGCAAAGGGGGAAATGTTGTTAAGGGACCTAAGTGATAGGAAGTTGTTGAGAGCTATATCGCCCACGTCCTGAAGGTTGACTGATTGATTCCTATTTCTACAGCTTATAAACCATTTGCAGGTTGTTTAATGCCAGTAAATATGTTTAGATTTTAGGAATTATTTTTTTTTTAGATAATAATAGTTTAGTGATACATGTCTTAATAATTAACCCATAGCTGAAGGGATAAGAGGTGAATTCATACCTTTTCTAAGGATATTTGGACATAAGTGAATATAGCGAACCCAACTGAAATTGGAACTCGGCCCTTCGATTAACAACTCCGAGCTATTACCCATTACACTACCGGAATATAAAAAAATTACAACACCCGCTATTCACAAATGATCCCCCATTTATGTACCAGGCTTGACGTTGCTTAACTTCGGTGATTGTATGGAAACCCGTGTTTCAATGTGATGTGACCGTAAGCCACATCTTGAAGGAAGACTGCACATAGAGGAAAGGACTCTAACATTACGAGATTGGAGTAGGACATGAAGTCAATAAGCCAATAAACATGGTGTCTTAGAAGTTCTCATTTCGTGTTCAGTTTTATACTGTATTTTTGGCGAAAGCGTATCATATTGCTTACTATCATTTCAATATATCATATTTGGCGCTTCTTATAACTGTCTTAGTTTTGAAATGTTGTTCATAGTGTATTATTATTTTTTTTATTTTAACTTTGTTCCATAAGTATATCTGAGTTCGCTCATTTTCCATACTTGATCAGCCTAAAATAATTTTATAACCTCTCCACTACATTTTATTTAATCGAGTTCACCCCATGCAACGCAGTACACTGAGACAAAAGGGGTTACTAGGTGTGGAAAAGTTAGAAACAGAAACATTACTAAGGAGCGAAAACAAAAGAGTAATCAGGAGGACAGTAGATAGCGATTGTCATTGCATTTAAATTTTTGAGAGATTAAAGTTGCTTGGAAAGCATGAAGCCGGAATGGAGTTCCACAAATGAAAAATGCAAGAAAAGAAACTGCTAGCATAGAATTTACATCTAGCTGAATCAAGCGTAAATTGATGAGTTCTCAACGCCAATCATAGTACTACGCTTAAATTCAAAGAGTCTAGGCAGCAGAGTGAAGAGCTCATTTGAACAATTACCATGACAGTTCTATGTTATGCATGATACACCTTGTCAGTCATGTATCTTTCGATACATGACTGACGATGCAGGCTTTTTCCCTCAGTAGTTTGTCATTTCTTCCTGCGGTAGACCAGTTGCCGTTTGTCCTGCTATTTACTCATAGCTGGGGTTGTGAAGAAGAGGATTCATACTTTTCCCAAGGGTTTTAGCACGTAAGTGAATGCAATGGATTCGACTGGAATTCGAACTCGGCTCTCCGATTCCTCAATCCGAACCGCTATCCATTACTCCACCTTTTCATTACCATGAAAATATTTATAAAAAGCAAAAGGAGGAAACTTACGATGGAGGAAAAGTGAGTGAAGACGTGATGTCAGTTTTCGCAGCTGACTCGATATAAAACCAACGTTGATTTCACTCGCGAAGACCGATCCGACCAGGCTGGCATTAGCGATGGACACCATGGCAGGCAAGCTTATCAGGCCATCAACAACGACACCAAGACGCTTCCATCAACAGCGACGTCTTTGGCTAGTGGCGATTCAGCGGTAGGAGCAGAGACAATTTCTCGACTACTACAATATTTCTCCCATATGTGATCACACTCAACTATACATACGTGTTGATTTTCTCCTTATGTTTATCTCGGTTATTACCTTGGGTTACAAATCGAAAGAAACTGTCAGTCTCCCACGACTTATATACGATACTCCCGAACGAGCAAGCGAACGAACCTGGAAAATCGCGATGAATTAAAACAAAGAAAATATTTTACTTATCTCAGCTTCGTCTTTTTTTGCTGTTATGTCCCTACCAGTTTTTGTCTTGCTCACAATAAGAACACCGTTACAAATGTATTATATTTGTAATAACCTTACCCTATTAAATTTGGAATAACCTACCATATTAAAGATGGAATAACCTACCATATTAAAGTTGGAATAACCTACCATATTAAAGTTGGAATAACCTACCATATTAAAGATGGAATAACCTACCATATTAAAGATGGAATAACCTACCCTATTAAAGTTGGAATAACCTACCATATTAAAGATGGAATAACCTACCCTATTAAAGTTGGAATAACCTACCATATTAAAGATGGAATAACCTACCATATTAAAAGAAAGATGCTGCTCTCTTAGAGAAAGTTTTCTGGATATTTTTTTTAATTTTATTTCAAAGTTCACTTTGATTCATATCAAGAGACTGTCTTTTTGATGAGAATTGTTTAATGCAATTTTAACATGTTATTTTCCTGCCTGTTCTTGCATGTTTTTGATTTCCACATTCCATGAAAATTAAGACGTTTTTGTCTTATTAACCATTAGTAAATGTTGGGAGTATTTACAGACTGGTGTTTTCCAGAAATAATTCTATAGCTCGCCACTCGTATTCAAGGATTACCGACTACTAGCTAGCCAATCCCTATTGCAGATGCTTGCTCAGTCACATTTTGGGTTTGTTCATCACCCACAGAGCCCACCACTACAACTATACCGAGCAGACCTTAGTTACAGTTTCTAGGAGAGAAGAAGCGTGTTATTTAGCGTGACCAACAAGGCCAGCACATTCGGTCACGATGACTTTGTGCTAGCACAGCTATTCACAGCTCCAGGGGTACCGTATACCCGATTTCACACACAAGACTTGGGTTAACCTGTGGTTTGGTTTTCAGGCAAGGTGCCGCATCCAGACCGATAACATCAAGAAGTCAACTTCCTGAAAAGTCGACCATGGTGAGGTTCGAACCTGGGTCTCCTGGTCAGAAAGCGAGCGTTCTAACTACTCTGCCCACTTGCCAAGAATAAACACACCGAATATAAATGACAAGTATTTACTCATCCCTAAACCATGTAAATGCTTACAGACTCATATAAAAAGGACTAATATGTATCTATCCTCGAACCAAGTACATTTTTACCGAGTTAAATATACCAAGAAAGACTAAACATTAAATATTACAAGAGAGGTTCTTCATGGATTTCAGTTTTCATTATTCTCTGCTTTGTGTAGCTCTTAGTAAATTGTGTCTTTTCGCTCTCTCTTCTAAACTCTGTTCTGCCAACAGAAGCTTGTTAGGTATATCATTGTTGTGGTAGGATCCACCTAATTTGCATAGTGGAGTACCGACCATATAAATATGGTTGGTACCGGGAAGAGAGGAAGGAATCAAGAGATTCAACCAGAGACTCTGCCCGACTGCGACTAAGTCAACACATTCTCCAGGAACGGTCTTACCAGGAATATACAAAAGACTATATGTAAATATTGTGTACACTTTCTTGTTTCAATACATTTTGTTCTAAGTACATTTTGTGTTGCATTATTATTCCATGCATTAGTCAAGTTTCAACAATCATGCTCTGCTTTCCTCTGCAACCCCTTGTTGACTTCAATGTGTCCCGTCAATTTCTAAGCCTTCTTTCTTTAGTATGTGCCCCAGAAACGCCTGTCTCTTTCTGATGCATGTGTCATTTTTGTTTCTATATTCGCTAAAACTTCACTCATATGTTAGTTCCATGGTATTCTCGGCATCTTTCTGAAAGCACATTCTATTCCCTCAAGTATCTACTTCATCTATGATTGGGTTCATCATTTTCGGCCATATTGCCATGTCTTCAATTCGTGCTAGACAATTTTTTTCTCGCCAGAATTTATCTTACACATTTATTAGCCTATCATTTGTCTATACATTAAATATTGCTGCCGCATCTGGTCTGGTGTTTCGGTTATGCATTTCGAGATTATTGATAAAATACAAAGAAGCATATGCAATGTTACTGGTCCTGATCTGGTATCTCGGCTTCAACTAATTTTCCCATTACCTTTACGTAGTTTCCCTGTACGTTTTCTCGAAATATTTTTTTTGTTTTAAAGTACTAGGGCACCCCCACAAGATGGACTGATCTAAATGATAAATAGCATGCTCTCTTACTGAGAGAGTAGAAGTTGAACAGAATTTCTTGTCGACCTCTCTGCCTTCTGGCGGAGAGGAACCCAGACGAGGCAGAGTCTCGTCTGAGGAGGTAGACAAACCCGACCTTCTGTATACAGAGTCTACGGGGAATA